TCCTTGATCGGAACAGCTGCCACAACGACAGTCATGTTTACGGACGCAACTGCACGACGGACAGATGAACAGGTAACACGGCAGACAACTCCGGGCTCATTTTGTCGCGATGGCGGGCAGTCATGTGCGTTCTGTGGTGAAACTTCGATGTCTAATTGGCGGGGCTCCTCCTCCTGCAAGGCCGCTTCAAGGGAGGCTCCTGATCCTCGACGGCGGGGGTGGAGTGGAGCTTGACCCAGTTCACTGCCCCTCGTCGGTGATGGTACGGTATCGGCTGCTAAACGGCTCGCAAAAGCAACCCAGATATTTTGGCTCCGTTGCTAAAGGGCTTGGGTTTCTCGAGACAAACAGAGTAATACGAACAGCCCGAGCCGTTTAGCAGTGCAAAACTAGTTTCTGCAGCTAGGGGCCCCGCGGGCGAGGGAGACGGCTGTCTTTAGAGGCTTTCAGAGCGCTCCCACACCCTCCAATTAGGGCCTTCGGGAGACATAACTGATGGGCAGGAGGCAAGTACCGCGAGATTTCACGTCCCATCTCGCTCTCCCGCGGGAGAGCCGTTTAGCAGTGCAAAACTAGTTTCTGCAGCTAGGGACCCTGCGGGCGAGGGAGACGGCTGTTTTTAGAGGCTTTCGGAGCGCTCCCACACCCTCCAATTTCAATTTGGGCCTTCAGGAACCATAACTGACGGGCAGGAGGCAAGTACCGCGAGATTTCACGTCCCGTCTCGCTCTCCCGCGGGGCCCCTAGCTGCAGAAACTAGTTTTGCACTGCTAAACGGCTCCGGCTGTTCGTACTAATCTGCTTGTACCGAGAAACCCAAGCCGTTTAGCAACGGAGCCAAAATATCTGGGTTGCTTTTGCGAGCCGTTTAGCAATCGACTGCTGGGCTTTTGAGCGAACAGCGCGAGCCCGTTAGCAGTGCCAACGCGGTTTCTGCAGCTAGGGGCCCCGCGGCCGAGGGAGACGGGACGAGCCATTTAGCAGTTTCGTGTTGTTGCCTTAAAGAGGTGGGTGCATGAAGTGCCTGCACAGACCTCAGCTTCACGACTCACGCCACGCCTCACGTGCCGGTGCCTCAGATGTCCTGTCCTGTCTGTCCGTATCCTTGCTGCCAGTGCTTGGCCTGCTTGCTTCTCGGTTCTGCAGCATTTGTCGCAACAAGCCTCCCGTCCTCGTACGCAGCTCCTCTGTGCCATGCCGCCCATCTGCCGTGGCTTCTCCGATGCGCTGCCGTGCCTCTTCTCGGCCGCTCATCCTGGGATGCCGGCACGAGGAAATCCGGCAAAGGGGAACCGGTGCGTCTTCTGCAACGAGGACTGGATGGAGGAGGCCTGCCGAACACCGCGTGGACGCCACAACATCACGCGCTCGTTGAAAGCTTTCCGGGCACACTACGAGAAGCGCAGCTTCGTGTACAATACGGCCATGACGCGGGTCCCGGAGGAGTGGCACGGCACGTTCCATGAAGCGGCCTTGCAAGGGCGGCGCGGACCAGCTCGAAAGCATACCCCAGTGGAGACGCAAGCCACCGCTGCCACGGAAAAATGGGGCCAGCATCTGGCCAACCGGAAGCGCGCCTTCAAACACCTGCGCAGCAAAGAGGTCACGGCCTACAAGAAACGCCGCACGGCCGACCGCAGCCGGGTGGCCAAGAAGTTCTTTCTCGACAACGACCTCCCGGCCCCGCAGCCGAGCGATGTGGCTCCCAATGATTGCGGCCTACCTGCCCCAACGACTTCCGACCGGGCCAAGTTCGTCGAGTTGTGGTGCAAGCTCGGGTCGTGGGGCATCTGCGAGAAGTGCCGTTCCCTGCAGCCCCGCCCGCTAGAACCCATCGATTCGAGAAGGGTGGCCAAGGCAACGATCACGGCCAAGACCTGTAAGCAGTGTCGCGGCAAGCACTGGGTGCCCCAGCCGAGCGAGATCCCACAGCCCTTGCGGAAGCTGAACGGCAAGCTCATCGAGGCCCTCCGCCCCTTGGACATCGATGTGGGACCCCACAGACAGGCCGGCAACGGTTACCGCATCCATTCGGCCATGGTGCGATTCAGTTGGTCCGAGCTCGGGGTGCAGGCGAAGATCCGTAAGCTGCGGAACCGCAGACAGCGGGAGAAGGCGCAAGCGGCCTATGACTATCTCATGACCGATGAGGCCGAGAGCTCCTACCGGGACTTCGTCAAGAAGCACAACAAGTTCCTCCGGAAGTTCCCTGGAGCGACGGACGCCGACCGTCGGCGACCCCTCCAGTTCATTGAGACCGTCGGTCTGGAGTGCGCTCTCTGGCCATCGCTGTATTGGTGCGCTGAAATGTGCGAGACTACCGAGCGGGCCACCGACTCTCGGCGCCTGGCTGCGGCTGCCGCGGCCGGCCGCAACGAAGCCCTAAGTGATGATGAGGACGACGAGCAGGAGGGACAAGAGCGGCACAGCATCAAGCGCAGCTTCATGCGCAAGGTCCTGAGCCCGATCATCGGCTACGGCCAGGACTTCGAGTTGCTGCAGTTCGTGTACGACCTCACCATGTGGTCCCGGATCGGTGGCGGGAA